TGAACCTCTCCCATTCGACAAGGAAGTTGTTGTCAACTTTCACTCCTTCTGATGATTTCTTGCATTGTTTCAATTGAAATCACCTTTCTGTTTTTTTAGAAGCCATGATTTGCACAACACTTGAATAAATGTAAATACCCTGCACTGAGGTGATGTATGTAATAAACAAGGAAGCAAGCCAAATCCCAACGGGAGCTCTGTACTTCAGATATACTAATAATATATTCTAATAACACTAATATATTATAAAAATAGCAGATTGTCATTGGCAACGGCAAAACAGTGGAAATATCATTCCCACTTGTTCGCAGAAAGTCCATTGTTCGCCTCACGTAACTGCCGAACGGAAAGTCCGTTGTTCGCAGCGTCCGTTATAAGAGGCACCACTGTATTTGGATTTGTGTGTAAATTCTTATTTAAAACTTCTAAAACAGATATAAATTTACTAGATAAACCCAGTTTCCTTAAACAAATAGTAGTTAAACTGCTCATGTATGTTTTATATAAAAAGCAAGTTCTAAAAAATAGATGTAATTCTTATCATTTGACAGAAATAAAAAAATTTTAGTGAAGAAATAATCTGAAAATTTATTAATAAATTCATTAAGAATTTTTGTCTTCAAAATTTTCAATATTTGAATAATATTGATAACATTAAACATATAAATAATAGATCACAATTATATTATCCATTACAGATGGCTCATTTTAATTTGAAAACATTAATAAAATGCTATCCCATTGTTATAAATTATCTGTAAGATTATATTCAAATACATTTTTGGTGAAATTTAAATATATGGATGAATTATAAAGTCTCAAGGATTAATTTACTTATTCAAATAATAATGACCTTACAAATAATTCATGTAAATATGTAAATTGCAATGAATTTCCAAATTTCCACTAGGTATCTGTAGATGTATATAAATACAACAGATAATGACCCGATGGACATTTAAAAAAATTTTTAATACTGTGTCATTGACATTGAATCCTCAAAGAAAAGGTTGGCATCAAATATGTAGTGTATATGTTTTTTAATATCATATTGTTGGTTTTTAATGAAGAATTGTTTGTATCTTCGTGTTGGGAACCATCTGCATCTGGTTGGAATCGTAAAAGGATAGATTTTAAACTGATCCAAAATTATTTGTATGGTCATTATTATTTGAATAAGTTAAATATATGCAATTTGTTTTTTATATATTAATAATTTTGATTTTTATGATAACTAACAATTATTAACTTGCTTGTCATTGAATTAAAATAAGATGCATTATAATTTATGTATGATGTAGTTGAAGTAATATAAGCTTCTTCATGCATAAACTTTAGATTTTATGCTAACAGTATTGATATAATTGATTTTTCTTTAGATTGTTAACTGTAACAACGCCTACAGTAGATCGTAGTACTAAACCCAGGTCTCTGCTTAGTCCAGTTCCAGAATCCCAAAACATTTCTGGATTAAGAACAGTAATAGTACCTCGTAATCTTATTGATCAGTTTCTCCATTTAGCTGAACAAAATACCATCTGTAATATTGAAACGTGTGGAATATTAGCTGGAAAATTAGTAAGTGTTCAAATTAATATTTGTTTTTATTGCAATATACAATAATTTTTATTTATTATACCAGTGTTGCTCAGAGTAGTAGTCCAGAAGCCTGGAAACTTTGGTAATTGGCTGCTAGTTTGCAGAAAGTTTCCAGGAAAAGAAAACATGGTCTGAAATAATACAATGCTTTTAAAAGATGTATAATAATGGTAATTATCTTGTAGTGCTTCAGTGTATTTACACAAGAAAATACTATTATATGAACATCTGTCGTTTGAATACAACAATACAGTAATATAGCGAAAATATAGTACTTGTCTTGTTGTATTGCAAAAATTATTCTTGGGCTGTCATATCAATTACTTTAGGAATAACTGTTTTAGATAATTCTTTATTTCTTAGATCAGTTATTGTTCTATTAAAATTATTTATTGATTTTACATTTATTTGTTGTAAAATTGCCTTTATAGTTTCTCAAATTTTTATTACTTTGATAGGTTCGTAATCGTTAAAAGAAGATTAAATGTTACTTTTTTTAATCTGTAATTCATGACCTTATAAAGTTTCTCAGTCTTCAACAGAATGTTAAGAAATTAAACACAATTCAAAAATTTGAGAAATGCTAGTAACTTTAATTACAAATACATTCTGTATATAAAAATTTTTTATTTTGACAATATCAATAATGTAAAATGTTCAAAGTGTGTACAGGAAACATTTTTCTTAATGAACCCACTTTTATAATTGGACCACTTAAAATTGGATTAATCTTCTAATAACTTTTTAGGTGTAATTTGGATATTTATATATTTAGAACTTCCATCTTAACTATCTTGCTGTAAAAGTTAGGACATAATGGACTATTGAATTGTAGGTTCTGTAGTTCTGTGCATTCAATCTGTTTCCTAGAATTTGATTATCATTGTGCATCACTATTTTCAATTTTGAAATACTTATTTGATTACATTTGTGAGCAATCTTGTTTCAAATTTCATTTGATTTTTTCCATAAGCCTTGCACATATTTGCAGATAAGAATTTTTGTTGATGTAGTCAAATGTGAGATTTTGTCTGTTTTCCACATATTTAATTCCAATTTTAATTCTCATCTTTTTAGGATATGATTCAACCAAATTGCATGTATGTGATGAAGCTTAATTTATCTGAAATATTACTTTGTCCATCTTGTGAGGATATAGTTGTAGTAGATAAGTTTCAAAGAGTGGTTGGTTTTAAAATACAGACACTGAATATAATCATTTTGATCAAAAGAAATATTTTGATAAATGGTAAGATGATGTGCCCACTTATTTATACCAATTACCATAAAGTACACAGAACAACTTTCAGTGTAGTATCTTAACCAACTTTCAAGTGGTTGTTTCCCATGGTTAGTATAACAAATTCTCCTTTTGCTGTTGCAATAACTTAGATACTGTCATGCCTTATTCAAAAGTGATGAAATGTTGCCCTATCCCCAGCAAGATTTTTTTCATGTAACTTTCTGCAATTACTATTTGGTTTATTTATGATCTTTCATTTAGTTTATGAACCTTCTCTTTTCACCTTGTCATTAAACCAGAAGCCATGATGCAAGCATAATGCCATGAATAGGCAAATAGAAAATTTCATGGCATGATGCAAGCATAATGCCATGAAATTTTTGAATATGCCTTAGATAAACACAAATATATTTAAAAAACAATTCAAATAAGATGATAAAAATAATCATTGGTTTTAGATAATCTCTTAGTTTTATTTGTGCAAGTTGATTAAAAATATATTAACAATAAAATTAAAAAAATTTTTTTTTATTCTCAAAAATAAGGAAATAATATTTAATCTTAAATTGAAATTTACTAATATTAAATTTTAATTAAATTTTTAAAATTTTCCAGTCTTATAGTAAATTCACTGTCACACATCTGTTGATTCCAAAACAAACTGGAAGTGCTGATTCTTGTACAACTGGTAGTGAAGAAGAATTGTTTACTTACCAGGATAAACATGATTTAATCACCCTAGGATGGATACATGTAAGTAAAATTAAAACTTTGATATATTATATATATATAAATATAAACAATTCTTAAAATTTTTTGTTAAATTCTATATTTATTGAAAAATACTAATTTTTTTAATTTTAAATACACATTCATTTATACATAGTGTGAAGAAGTAAGTGTTTTTTTTATCTAAGAAAACATTAAGAAACATGAATTGATTGTTCTACAGAAAACCTGTTTCAAATATCTTTGTATCTGATATCAGTTTCTTACAATACAGTTTAAAAATCAAACATTTTCAACACTCAGATAACATGCTTGATGGTGATATAAATGAAGACATTTATCTCTAATATACTGTATTTTCACGGAATGACCGGTATTCCACATATAAATGGAGGAGACCAGCATGCCGGTCAAACTGCAACTAAAATATAACATTAATCAGATGTAACTAAAATACCTTCCTTTCAAATTTCACACAAAGCAAATGTTAATTGGCATAAGCTGAGATAATTTACAGTAAGTTTCTTAAATTCAATATGTTTATTTTTGCGTTTTCAAATCAAATAACAATAAAATACACATAAAAAACACTTTCAGAATTCCAAAAGTATTTTACATTGTTAGAAAGAAGACAAAATGAAAAAATTAAACATATAATCATACATTTTGATGTAATGCTGACAGTTTTACAGTTTTAGAATAAAAACTTGTTTTGTTTTTAATGCGCCTTCTAGAGAGGGATATATAGTTTCACTTAAACTGGCATGCTGGTTTTTATCATATGGAAATATCTGATTTTATGGTCTTCCCTGGATAGACTGACATGCTGGATAGACTGACATGTCATTCTGTGAAAATATGGTATATTTGTACCTTGGACCTTATAAACAGAGTTCCTACATACCTGGAAAGTCAGAGATTTTCATTAGTGTTCAGAAAAAGTCAAGAACAGTCAGGAAATTTGCCTCTTTGGCTGCTTTGTTGGTTTTTTTGCTCACAATAAGATAGACTAAGTGTAGCCATCTGAAGGCAGCAAGATGTAATGTGATACAATGCAACATATCAAAAGGCATGGAGAATATTTTCAGGACTCAAAATTTCTCTAAAAATTATTGTGCACACAATAAAACCATAATTTATGAATCAATTAATAATTATTATTACATAGTTTGAAAAATTTAAATTAAATCATACATATAAGTAATAGGTCTACCATACAATTTGTCATGTAACACTAAACTGGTAAATGAACATAAATATTTTAGATTAAAAGAATACTTTAATTTAAGCACATGTTTCCATCATCATGGTATAGCATATACAATTATAAACACAATTACTTTTTTTACTGATAGTGCAGATTAATTTTAAAAACTAATTTTGATTGTTTGTGAAGAATTATAAAATGGAACAGGAAGGAGAGCATTCAAAATGCCAGGGGATTAATAACAGGATAAACTATTTTAATTTAATAAAACATTTTATTTTTAATTTTAAATATTCCACAATTATAAAAATTATGTAACTGTTAATTAGAAAAAAATAACTAACTAAAATGTCATAGAAGCAATAGCATATTTGCATAGTAAATCATATTCTGCATTTATTTTGTCAATATGCTGAACTATAAGGAATGTGAGGTCAGGGAATTTGTACAAAGTTGGTCAGGAGAAGTCAGGGAAAGTAATGGAATTTAAAACAAGTAGAAAATTATTTATTTTGGTTTTTTAATATTGAAATAAGTGGTGTTTGTAGAGAAAGTTATCTTTAAACTTTAAATGGTAAAAATTTATTAGTTTATTAAATGAAAGACTACATTTTAAAATAAACTCTAGATTTATCTAATTGCGTGTTTACTTACTTCTTAACTATTTCTTTGAAATTAATTAATCTAGTTAATATTCTAATAGTAATGCAAGAAACTATTTTCCTGAAATAATATATATGTGTGTGTGTGTGTGTGTGTGTCCATGAGAGAGATAGATTATTTGTTTTTTCTTGTAGAATATTTCATTTACAAAATGCTATATGTTTTATTTAGTTCTTAACTTACAGAATATATTTTTCTTCAGCATTTTTATTTTTAGTTTATCACAGCAAAATACTAATACAAATTACATTAAAAACATTAAACTTTTTTATAGTTAGTTCTTGAAAATGTTTAATAGAACTATCTTGAACTATCACATAGCCTTTTTTTTAGGATTTCTATTAAATTATTGTCTCGTATTTTACTTTATATATATTGCAGTTTAATCCTATAGTAATAAAGGAAAACTTTATCAATTATGATAGTATAAACATTGTATTTAAATATTATGTATAAAATTTATATATGTAAATATTGGAGTTTGCCAGAATATCAGTTTGACATTTGTATTCAAAAATGTCATTGAAGTTGTTGAGTTTTTCAGTTGTATATTGGAAAGTTAGTAAATGAACTGAACATAATGGAATACAAATAGAAAATTATGATTTGTTGTAAAATTTTGATTTATTAACACAAGTTACAAGAGAGTTAACATTAATGCAATATTTTGTATAAAATTTTTTACTTCAAAATAAAAATTCAACAGTATGTCTTAGTCCAAGAGTGGACAAACTACAGTCTCTGATGTCATTTCGTGCAGTCTATGCACAAATTCACAAATTTCATAATTTTATTAATAAAAATGATAAGTTAAATACATAATTAGTACATGCTTTGAAACATTTGAAAAACTGAGCAGTCTTGTACATAACTATATGTTCACACCTAGGTTTGGGCTGCAATTATGAATGTTATTTGTCAATTGGATGATAGTACTCAAATTCTTTTTCTCACTTGTGACCTGCTAGAGAATGGGTGGCCAACAGTTTTTGCCCCCGGGCTGAATTGGAAAGAAAACTTTTTCCATGGGCTGAACCAGAGGCTGCCCTAGGAAGATTTTGAGGTGGTGCGAGATCTCATTGTGGTGTCACCCCGTAGAGACTAAATTGTACATAGAGATTACAGATACATTTTTCATATTATCATACTTTATCAACATTCTATGCCGTACTTAAGAGATTTGTAATGGAGGGTTAACTCTAAATGCAGTGAGTTGTTGATTTTAGATGTCAGAATTTTTCATCGAGCTATTCTGACTTGAGTAGCTAATATTGAGAGATTAATTGCGGGCTGCGTGTTGGCCATGTCTGTGCTAGAGATTTTACAGGTATCCATGTGGCCCTCATGAAAAAAAGTTTGTCCACTCCTGTCCTAGATCATTAATCATATTTTCCATATTTCCATAGCTGTATGGTCATGTGGATGTTTGTTAAACATTAGTGATGTAACGAATGTTCGGTTACTATTCGGTATTCGGCCTATTTTTCACTATTCGGCCGAATACTGAATATTTAATCACTATTCGGCCGAATACCTAAAACAGGAGAAAGAAATAACAAAAACACAGTAAATTAATCATTTTGGTATTTAGATTTAATGTTATTGGGTTAGTGATGTTTGTTTATATTTATTTATAACTTATAACATGCACAAAATAAAAAAGAAAATAATATTAGTCACATGTATTCACAATTTATAATTACAAAGATCAGCACACGTACACACCTATTCGTTTGAGAATTGTCACACATATCCGAAGGTCTGACCCTGCCTATCCTTCTTCTTAAGTGCTCATCTTTGCTCTTCCCTTTCTCTTTCCTCTATCTCTCTAGTCCGCATATGCCTATGCATACATCATAATACGCGCTCACGATACTTTCGATTCGTCACTTTTCTGTCATAGTTTTTCCATTTTACAATGACTCATAGCCTGGTGATAATGGAGAAAAGAGATAGATAGGACGTTGGTATAAGTAACAGTTATGATTTTACAGATTTGAGACAGCTTGGTAGTCTGAACGGCCCCAGGCTTTCGCTTGCGCACGCTAAGTGACTTTTATTACAAGCATTTAGCTTTCCAAAGTCTATGACAACAATTGTTTGGCATTGATGGCCATGAATTTCGTGCTAGTAAGCTGCCTTGACTTGTTTGATTATGTTATCAACTCAATTTCATATTTATTTTCACATTTTCACTTCGCGGTCTTTCTCTGTTCTTTTTCCGGTATTTACACGTGTAGGTCATTTCATTGTTATCCACATTTGATATCATCATTTATCACATACTGCCATGATGCTCTTGTCTGTCCCCTACAGCTGTCAAGAATTAACGCGATTGGCAAAACATAGTGACAGCGGGCCAATAGAGAGCAGGGTCCTTGCCATAATGCGGTTTGCGTGCCAATTTTCATACGTGTGTTAATCAAGCCGAATAGTTTGGCCAAATATTCGACTATTTGGCCAAGCTCGTGGCCGAATATTCAGTATTTGGCCTGAGGTCGAATATACTATTTGTTTCAACACTATTAAACATTATTCTATTAGTGTCTTTTTAATGAATGAGTCTGGCAGTTATAGAAATTTTAAGTATTTCCTTTTAATTCTATCCAGGTTAAAAGAGGTGTTTGAAAATCAGTGGTCAACTTGTATTATACAAAAGAATATAGAGGGTTGGGCAGAAAGGACAGACATTTTTAAAAAAATCACATCATCTGTAATTGTTATTACAAAAGATGTATGTTGGAAGATGTGAATTTGTATTGAAATAGCATTTTTCAGAATCAAGTGTGGCAAATAACATCTTCCATTCAGCTAGGTTAAATCACCTTTGTTATCTGTTCAGTTATAAAGCAAACGTGATTTCTTGTACCTAATCTACCTGTAGGATTCTCTCCAGCATATCCTTTCACTTCATCCACTACCCTATATGCTTCATCAAGGAAGCTGTCAACAATGGAAGTCCCCATGGTAAAGAAAATTCCACTCTCAATGTCTAAAATCTACTAGATTTACTAGAATCTACTAGAGTACAAGAGCAGTAGACTATAGCAACAGGAAATGCATTTACCACATTAATGTATTTTAAACCTTGAGGAAACAGTCATATGCAAACATTCTATTGTCCATGGCTCCATGCCTTCAACTGAAAAGACAATGTTAAGACCTCACTACCTTCACACACCTGCCACACATCTGTCACTCCACCAGGTGGTGAGTTCTAGCCATTTCATAAACGTCCATTCTTTCTGCTCCACCCTGAACTATTCTTTTGTATAGATTAAATACATAAAAATATAATAATAATTAAAAGTTGCTCAGTCATACAAATTTATACAGCCTTAAGGGAATTTTATGTTTAAAAAATTTTAAAAAGTAATTTTCACTACAAGTAATATTTATTTATAATTAATTCAAATATTTGATTTATTGAACAGACTCATCCAACACAAACAGCATTTATGTCAAGTGTAGATCTTCATTCACATTGTTCTTATCAATTGATGATGCCTGAAGCTGTTGCAATTGTATGCTCACCTAAGTATCAAGAGTAAGTCAATTTTCATATTCAATCAATGTATATTATAATAGGTAAAGATTTTTGTTATAATTATATGTATAACACAAAACTTTTTAACAGTAAATTCTAATTGTTAACTATAACATCTGTGTATTATACTCTACTTACTTCAGTATAGAAATTGTTAACCATTAGTTAACAATTTCTGTACTGAAGTAAGTAGAGTATGATATACAGATTTTATAGTTCTAATATAATGATGAATTTCTATGTTTTATTATTTTACATGAAGAAACTTAATAAGTCAACCAATTTATGAATTTAATTTATAAATTCCCTATTTTAAGGCATAAGTAAGAATGCTTAAACCTATTTGGAATGTAATGTTCCTGTTACAGTTTTTTGAAAGAAGCTTGATATATAAACAGATTAAGAATAATTTGTTTGGAAAACTACAACAATGCATATAATTTTCTAGATTGAATGCTTTTTATATTAAAACTAGTATCAACCACTGCTTATGTCTGTATCTTCGATTTAATTAGTTCAAAATTAATATTGCAAAATTATGAATTATACTTTTCTCATTATTTATAAAATATATGTACAATAACCCCTTAATATATTGTATAGTACATATTAGAGATAAGTCAAATGAGCAATATACCAGATGGTGCAATAAAACTGATGTATCTAGGCATCTATTTTGTCCATTTTTAATCATGCCAACTTGCTTTTTTGTGGATGGTATATTTGTAGTTTATACAATGATACTTTCAAGGTCAATGATTAGATTAAGATAATATTCCTTTGCTAGCAGGGAAATTTCAATGACAGTTGATTTTTAAAAAATTATTGGCTAAAGCACTTTTATATTTGGAAAACAAAAAAAAAGATACGCAATGAAACTTCCATTAATGGACACTCCTAAATAGTGGACACATCTACTTAACAGATATTTTTCCAATCCCCAGACCCTTCAAATAGAACATCTATAATATTTACCTCTAAATAATGGATGTTGTCATCTGTAACCTACCTTACGAAAACACAAACTCATGCCTTCAATATTCTGAAAGAATTAATTAGGTATGAAATATTTTAAAACTAAAACAAAGAATCAGTTCAAATAGTTTTTCAGAGGATAAAATTTGACTGTAGGTGTTGAATAAAGACTGGCTTAAAATAGGAATAGGGGAGGAGGACAGGTTGTAAGAGCCAAACAATATTCTTTATCTGGTTACATTTTCTATCACCATTTATTGTCATATTAATAACATACATATTAATGTTATTAAACTTCTGTCTTATTGTTGGAATTAAGCTTACGGTATCAAGAAACCATAAACTTTTCCAAAGTTATTCATTCATTCGACATGAACCATAGCAGAGTAATAATAAAAAAAAAAAAACAGTTTTAAGGTTAAGACAATAGCATTTATTTGGTGAAAGTTCAAAGGTTGTGTTATAAAGGCAATTTGCCAACCTCTTTAAAGTGTAGGAAGATATTCAGTTTTCTCACATTTATGATGTAATTTATGATCTTAATAGCTTTGTGGTGGCTAAATTAATTCTTAATAAATCATTTATTGAGAAAAGTAAAAATGTTTAAAAAATTACACCTACTCAATAACTACAAAGTAGACAAACTATATTGATTTTTATTAGTTGCTTAGATTATAAATGATATTATAAATGCAAGAATATTGAATAGCCAATTCAAGGGGTAAGAAATGTATTTCTTACCCCTGAATTGGCTAGAAAATTGCCTTCATGTGATTTTTACAGCTGAAAATATAAATAATATACTGTATATATATTAAGACATATAAGAATTTACTTCTAGCATATGCCAATCCTTTTATAATAATAAATTTAAACACCAACAGACAATAAAATGTTTTTTATTATTATGTATATATATTTTAATTATATATGCTATGTATACTTTTTGGTATTTTCACATTCCTAACCCAAATTTAATGTTTTCACAATCCATCATATTCTGCATTTTATAATGACCAGGTTAAAATACAATATGGCTACTGGCATGTACTGTACCTCTCTAAATAGCAGAAAAACTTCTCAGTCCTGATAGTGTCCACTATTCGGAAGTTATATTGTATATATCTGCATGAGCAATGTAATGAGGTGCAGTATAACAAGAAACTACTGTATTTTCAACTTCTGTCTGTTCATTCAAATTCTCTGACATATTTTTGAAAGAAAAAATTATTTTATTTTTAGTGGAAGTAAAAAAAAATTATAAATTTTATTTTTGTTTTACTTTCCCAGCTGTTATGTATACATAACAAGGGAAAGTATGGGAATTGTGTCAAATTTGATCCTTTGTTTTTTGCAAATCTCAATGTTTTGAGACTTCCTGAGACCAAAAAAGTCAAAGAAATGCTGTGTGTGTGTGTGTGTGTTGGTGTCTATTTNTAGTTTCTTAATTTTTAAATTAAAACACGAGATTTGTCATGGTAGCTTGTATAAGGGGCGTTGATGCTTTTAAATTTTGGTGGTAAAAGGTAGACGGGGTGAAGAGATAGTGAGTGGGCATGTAGTATATCTCGAGAGGAGTCAGACCTGATAAAGATTGTTACACATTATTAACACTTGTTTATCAAACTTATTCCTACACTCAAAATTAACCTTTTTGCCATTTTATAGTAATTAAAAATATAAAAAGTTTTTATAAGAAAATCTCATAATAGATGGCAGCAACCCATAATTTTATTAAGTTATATTGTACAGTCGACCCCCTATAACACTGTTGGTTTTTCCATTTTATATGAATTCCATGTTGTACGAGTCACTTAGATTTTACAAATACGTGAGCTGTTTACAGCCCGGCACACGTGTTTGTAAAATCTAATGACTCGTACAACATGGAATTCATATAAAACGGAAAAATCAACAGTGTTATAGGGGGACTATAGCGACTGTAATTAAAATTATAAAGGTTATTTTTTAAATAAGATCTCATAACAGATGGGAAAGTTATGTAACTCATTGCTGGACTTTTGTTTGGTCAGCATTATATATAAAAAATGTAACATAGACACTGAAATCTAGTAAGGTTGACCATCACCAATCCTGCAAGTAATCTGGCATTAATTTCCACGGGAGCAATTTCAAATTTTCCAGGTTGTGGCATGTACAGTACAGTATCTGTCACCAATGTTTGTTGTGCTAACTGCTGCTGCATAAGCTGCTTTTGAGCATTTTCAAACACTGATAAGTTATTTGAATTGTCTTTTGTGCATTTTTATTATAACCTGCCAACATTTAATTCCAGTTATGGCTCCAATGAATATAGGAAGTGTGTCTCTTGGTGTGAAGCATAAACACCATATCTTGTCCATACAGATAGGTAGAACTTCTGAAAAACTTGACAGTAGTGTATTTGTGCAAAGCTTGTGTGATTTATACAGCATTGGCTCATCTACAATTTGACATAAAGAAACAGAGAAAAATTGCTCAACTTCTTGGCTGACAGAGTTTTTCCCTTATTAAACAACATATATTGATTTACAGCATATTTTAGTATAGCAGGTAGGATGAAGTGATTAGCTGTTGGGTTAAGTGTATTCTAACTAACAAACTAGCACATACATCTCTCAATGATGCTGGATTGGTGATAGTCAACATGTATTGTAGTAGTTATTACATTGTGGTAGTTGCATTTATTTTACTATAAGCTAGAGAGTTTCATCGTCTGTTTTCATCAACCCTTCTTGACCTCGTTCTCACCAACTTGGTTAATCAACCAGCTAAATATTTCATCCAACTGGTTAAAAGTATTTATTTTCAGTTACTTTTTAAAGATAACTGTACTGTATACCAGTATTTTTCAACCTGTGTGCCTCAGATGTGTCCAGAAAACTATTAAATATTTTTTAAAATTTTGAATAAGCTTTTTTTTTAAATTTCATTTATCTTTCATTTTTTTACTGCCCACTGATCAAAGGGAGAAGGAGGTATTCACTAAAATGCCAATTGGTGAAAAATTTGCAATATTAGCATACCCCTCTCACAAAAGTTGCACGTGTTTGTGTGTATGCTGATGTATCAAGTCTGGAGCTTCTATAAATGTTATGGCTTACCAGCTTAAAGGCTTTTTTTATTTCTGTAGTATATTTGTAAAATTATGAGTTTTGCCTTGGTAAATTTAACTTCTGTACTATCAATTTTTCTTTAAATCAATCATAATTTATTTTAAATTTTAAACATAATTGTAGCAATTTTAAAAATTATGATTTGGCTTCACATCAATTCTATCATGATACAACAAAGTTGAGTGATGTCCTAATCTAAAATGATAAATTCTGTTTTTTTTTAATCAATTATTTCTTCTATTAATAGTATTTTATAAATTTATTAGTTGCTATATTACTATGGATTTTTTTTATAATATACAGGTAAGAAAATCCGATATTAATAAATTCTAAATTTTAATTATTTAAACCAATACAATTATCAAAGTTTTCATAAAGTATTTGAGATTAGGAAGTATAGGTAATCCTTGAGATATGCAGTTAATTGGTTCCACAATTATAGCATGTAAATCAAAACCTGTCATTTCATAACTAATCAATGGAAAATGAAGAAATCAAGTTAAAAAAGTATTTATTGAAGAATTATTAAAGGTTGTAGACAAAGCAATGTGTAAATTGCATACAAGTACATGTGCAATTGTACATTTTTTGTTTATATATTATCCACATAGATCTTGTTTATAAATAGGACTATGGTGTAGTTTTGAATCAGCAAAAGGGGGAAAACCTAGTCAAAAATAAGACAAAATAACTTTATTTTTACCGGTATAATAAGTGCTATTTATAAATAAATGTCTGTGGATATATAAACAAAAATTGCTACTAATAAACTTCACTTCTAATACTGGAGGTAATATAATTCTCTCCACTTGAATAAAAACCTTTCAATCTCCAGTGTTATTCTTCTTGGCAAACGTTTTCAACCCTACCAGGGTCTTCTTCAGGCCACTGTTATAATAAATTCAAACA